CGCGGCCAGGATGCCAAATAAGTAGGCTTCTGAAGCCTGACGGGGAGATCAAGGACTAGCGTAGTTTGCATTAAAGCACCGCACATCATAATAGCATAAATAGTGACTACAATTGAGAATAATATGTCTGTGGACAAATCATATTCAACAGTGTGTGCTATAAACGGGCCACGCGACAGCAGTTAACACAGGGTTTAGATCAGGGCGTCCGCCAAATGTACCTTCATCATCCCCGTAAGAGAAAGAAGAAGACGGGGCAATTTTTGAGACCAAGTTGTAATTATGCTGAAGTTTCAAAAGTATTCTCGCTTCCATCGTCAGAACGTAGTGCCTATTATCCTGCTGCTGTCGAGTGAGTATGTCTAACCGCTAGCCGTGTCTGATGCCCGCGTGTCGATCGATTGTACCGATCGATTGCCGGTGGCTGTTTGAATTGTTCGCGCCTTCGCGGGTGCCTCCATAAGGTGTGTCAAGTCGTTTGTTAGACATACTCACTCGACAGCAGCAGGAGAATAGGCATTACGCTCTGACGATGGAAGCGAGAATGCTTTTGAAACGTCAGCATAATTACAGCTAGGTCTCAAAAATTGCTCCGTCTTCCTCTTCTTCCTCTTCCGGGGATGATGAAATCAATATTATAACTGGGCCTCGAATACTTTTGCACATGTAGCTTCTTTCGTTTCCGGTTTCCTTGACTGTCTCTTGACATCGCGCTCAGGTGGAAGAGGAGGGGAGAGCGTGGTAGATGCAGCGAAAGTTCACTATAAATATAAGCGAAAGTCACTGCCCCCCTGCTTGCAACAGTTGGGGTAGTTGGTGGACATGATGGGAAACAACGGTCGAAGGGTCGGATCAACCCTAGTAGAAGAACCCCCTAATGTCATCAATCTCAATTCACGTTTCTCATATGACGAGAACAATAGTCTCTAAAGAGGGCTTAACGAAGCTAATATAAGCTGGGGGCGGCCCAATGAGCCAGTTCTATCATCGTCAGTTGCTACAAGTTTCTATTGCTAAATTGCTTAACAAAACGCAAACAGAAGCACAGTGACCATCGATCAGTGTGCTAACCCTCCTCCCTTCCCTCACAGTGTGGCCTGTTATTCAGCTTTGGATCCACTTGAGTAAGTGCGGTCATGCTAATTTTTCCCTAGAAGTTGCAGCAACCCGTCAAGTGACTGTGGGAAAAAAGAGACTTAGCACTGAATTGGCGTAAATTTGCTGGGAATAAAAAATGCTACAGATGTTTTTCCTAAGTTTAGTTGGGTTCAGTTTTGACTCACAGCGGGGGTCACTCAAGGCACCCTAGTAGAAAACATTACAGGACGGAAATGAATGAAGGGGAGTTTGCAAAAAAAATACTTCCGGCATAGGAAGCTGAGAACATGTTAGTGCTCCCCGGAACGACTTTTTGTTTTCGTCGACTTTTTGGAGAGCTGGCCCGGCTCTCCTCTGTCAAATTCTAAACTGCCTCTATCGATCAGCAATTTGAACTGTACTTGTCGGCCATGGGCTGATCGATTTTTTTCTCTTGTTCACTGCCTTGCTCCTCGTGTGGATGTTGGCTTAGGTTGACGGCATGGCAACTAACGAGAAAAAAATCGATCAGCATACGGCCGACATGCACGGCCGCACATTCAAATAGCTGATCGGTAATGACAGTTTATTGAAAAATTGTTTTCCCGGAGGAAATTTGAACAAGGTGAAGATCACGAGATTGGTAGAATTTATTTACATTCGGAGAAATTCATTGATAAGTATCGCAACTGCAAACAAGGACAGCCTCCCGAAATATCAGTGCCAAAAAAGCCGTTGAACATCTTCCTCACTTTCAAGGATGATAATGCATCCAACATGATAAAACGAAGGCTTCGTTGCAAGATTGAAAGACCTTACCCCGCCTCTAAATTGTTATACATAAGCACAACAATGGTTATTTCAGTTAGACCAAATAAATACATTCTGCCTATGCACGCCACATCAAACTATTTTTACGAGTTTACATTTAGTTTCGGATGCAAATACATCGGGTGCACGCAAAGGCAGTTGGCAACGCCGTCAGCTGAACATATGCCGAAGTGGTTGATCAGGGCGGAAAATAAGAGGTCAATCACGAAGCGCCCAATGAACACTGGCCATACGGTCTACCAAAAGACTGCATTTAAAGTCGTACTTCGGGCGACGACCGGGCGTTTCCTACGATTTGCGGAGACCGCTGCAATACGAAGAAGACAATCAGAACTCGGTAAGCAGCTGGATCGTGTGATCAATCCCGCATTGCCATGGCAACGATCGACGAACTCATTCCTTCTCACGCCTTCTCGTTCCCCCATAGGACCGACTGCTACCCTGTCCCCTGGCACCCTCCGTCTCACACGCTTTCATGAGCATGAACTAACATGAGCTGCCACGCTGTGACAATTACCTCTCGCTCCCCTACGTCCTCAACCTTCTAGATCAACACTTAATTGGACAGGTAATTTATCTTATTAATAGGCGACCACCGTCTGCAGTTGAGTAAGAGGTCACGAAATTTTATAACGTCAATAAATTCTGCTAATCTCGTGATCTTTGCCTTGTTCAAATAGCAGTTTACGCTTTGACAGAGGAGACTCGGCACAGTTTTCAGAAACGTCTACGAAGACAAAAGCTAGTTCCGGTGCGCACCAGAATAAATGAAGTGACATTCTAAGTAGCAAAAAAACCAAGTCCTACTCCTCAGGTTTCGAGATATAAGACGGGCAATGACAAGGCATCAGAAGAAGGCATTGGCAGGGCCAAATGTGCCGCCACACCTCACCTAAAGACAGGCGTTCTAGAAGAGACTGCAAGCTGACTTGACTGGCCACACAGGTCTTCACAGCGACGTCAATGTCCTCAAAGCTGGGGCGTAGGAGACCGGCAAAAAAGTGAGCTAAAGAATGCGGTTGACGCTCAATGGAGTCTGAGGAGCCAGAAGAGAGGTCCAAACTAGTTTCGTGTCCCGGGGCAGCAGTAAAGTCACTAAAAATGGATTCCACCGGTTCAGTTAGAGTGGGTGAATTGACCACCTCATCAGGGCCTTGGGACATGTAGGCGCAGGAACTCGCTGTGGGTGGGAAAACCGGCCTAAAAGGATAGTGAAGGGGAGAGGGAGGGTGATTATCTGTATGCACACGTTAGGGTTGTTAACGGTACAGCACTGAAAAGATGGGTTCAAGCAAAAAAAGGGTAGAACTTCAGACAGGCAAATACTACACAGCCAAGACCTGGTTAAAGGGGAGTCGTTTGGACAATCCTTCTACACTTATGAGAGGCAGGATAGGCAATGCAGATGCAGTAAGCCTGGTGGCATAAGTTGCTGATATCGTGGCAGATGGACATACTTACGGAAGATTGTGCCATTTGTATTTTCCGGACTTCGAGGCTAGCGTTTTACACCGAAAAGAAATAGAGGCCACCACTTAGCAATAAAACTAGCAAATTATTCGTTTTCAGGCTTCGAAATAAAATAACTAAAGGCAGAACAGTTCTCAGCAGGCCAGACGTCTAGAATGCTATTAACGGCTTATAAGGCGAACTCTTGTCTAATTCCTGAGCAAACACAACTGACGCCACTAAAACTTACGATGAAAAAATTTATTTTTCTATCCTATTTTCTCTTAAAAAATGGCCGGACACCGACCCTGTCTTACGGAAGGCAAGATTACACAATTTAGCTTATGATAATATTTTCCCGAGAGCATGATGTCTGGTCGACTTATCCGTGTGAATGAAAATTTTCGCCAAACGCTAATCAGAATTTGAGTTTTCAATATAGGATACTGAAACGTGAGCTACGCCATGGACTGCTCTCTGTAATCCATTCCCCAATTGTGAGTTTAGCTCTCACAAGTGTTTCTAGTTTTACAACTACACGGACTTTGTCCATTCGAGATGCGATACTAACACTTGAAAACCCACTGCCATACGAAACGACTTCGTTCATGCATCGGGCCACTTAATGTGAAGAGGGCTGTTACTTCTTTGAGCAGTGTTCCACGGTAGACAAGAACACTGAACAAGTGAGCTCTCGTAAGACCCTCATGGACAGGATAAAAAGACGTGCTATTTTAAAAAAAATTGCATGCCCGAAACAGTTGACAAACATGAGACACTTTTGGCGACAATCCATTTACTTGTCCCTGACTATCTGCCCTACAAAGATAAGGCTTACTTAAACTGCTACACGAGAGCACGCTGCCACTTAAATGCGCTTTCAGCAACGAAGTAGCTCGACAAAGACAAAACTAAAAACTTTTACAGGCAACGGGATTCCAGCAGCCAAGCAGTGGCAGGCAAACATGCTAAAACGATACTTTGAATTTTCAAAGATGACCGTAAAGCTACTGGAATGGGGACAAAAAGGTCACGGCCAGCAGGCATAACAGGCAGGCAGACCACTCAAAGCATGTGAAAAAAACAAGAGACTGTGGAAGCATATAACTTTATCGCTCAAAACCAACGGTGCAATGGGTGCTTTGAACAGGGGGGAGGGAGGGAGGACATAACAAGTGATGAACACTCGATACAAAATAGAATCTTCAAATGGAATGGATAGGTGGATACTGCAGTGCTGTAGGTGTCAAATAGAGGGCA